GCTAATTATCTCAAAGTATAACTCTGACAAAATGATGAAATGAATCTTATCATTATATTTAATGATGAGAAACATCATTAACATCTTACATGATTTTCCCATTTTCTTCAGATCTAATTCTTCTTTTTTTTTTTACAGATTAAGCAGTGAGATGGGTCAAAAAAGCATAAAATGCATGTCTGCACGTGTTCTTGATGTTCTTAAAGTGTTGACCTTAGTGCGAAAGCTCCCACTGCTGCACTCCACAGGATTAAATGGTCCTTAAAATGAATTGAGGACACATATTGGAGGCAACTGATCTCTACTGGATTTTTTACGGTTCTGCAGTTTTAACAGGGTTACACTTTAGAAGAAAAAAAGGTCAGATTTCTTCACTGCACTTAAATGAGACAAAATCTACAACTTATGTGTTTCAAATGAATTGTACAGTTCTTATTTTCTGTTTTAGCAAGGGCTTTAGAAGTAAACTGAGTGAGAGAAGCTTTGGGTTTATGAAAGGTTCTGCAACTTAATAAATAAGATGATAATATTCATGGCTTTAGATCATGCAACTCTTTTATGCATTGCAGCTCCCTACATTTGCTATAAATTATTAAGGATCTGTTGGATTTGTTAATAAATGTTGATAAAACTGAGACTTATTTATCAATTCTTAACATAATGTAATTTTTATTATGTAAATGTAGGAAGAAAAATCATCATCAGCTTCCAAATTCAGTCCAAAAACCTTGGCAGCAGATATTAGGGATCAATGTAAATATTGGTATTAGCCTTTAAAAAATCTGCATCGTTCCATTTCTAATAAGCATATGATTGTAAAGGTTATTCAGATTAAATTCATTAAGTATTTATGGCCCGACACATAAATCTAGTGTTTTGTTTGGCAACATTTTGTGCTTGAGAGCTACAGCGAGAATTGCCTGGACTTACCCGTCTCCACATCAGTGATCACAGCCGTGTTGTCAAATGAGCCGGTGAGGAGCTGTTGCCCACAGGGGGTCCAGCAGGCGTCACGCACGGCTCCCGAGTGGCAGGTGTAAAGCCTGAGGCATCGTCCACTTTCTGCTCCATCCCACACCTGCCAGACATGGACAGGAGCCAAAGTAACAAATAAACCCACCTTCCTGCAACTAAATCCCTTTACTACCCATTAGATTGTATAGTTATGAAAAGCTATGCTTCAGAGAAAACTTGTAGCTTTGAAATCTATGGCAGTTCAAAAAATCCCACATGTAAAGAAAATCAGTGCATTGAACTGATTTGATTTTCAAAGCAGAATCCAAAGGCAGAGATTTCCTCCTAACTTTGAATAAACTTAAAAAACAAAAAAACAAAATTAAATTACAAGATATAAATGTAAAGAATAAAACAAAGGCATTTTATCTCTATCTTAAAGGTGATGTTTGAGCCAGTCCTGAAACCAATATCTTATTTCTTAAATGTAGGGCTAAAACAATTAATTTGATTGATTATTGAAATAAACATCAACTATCATATTAATCGATTATCATTAAATGGAGAATAGAGACTGTAAAACATGCCTGTAGCTGACAGAGCAACCCACATAGAGCAGCAACTATATCAAAATTGTAAAAAAAAATATGTAAACATTTTGCATTAAAGATAATTTTTTTTTTTCATCTGTCAATATGTTCTATCCAGAACTCCTAAAGTGGAAACATTTCAGTTTAACCTGGTCTAATTTAGTAAAAAATCTTCTGTAAGGAACCTGTTTGTAACGGATTATTAATTAAAAATATATTCGACATATTAATCAAATTGCTAAATAATCGTTAGTTCAATTCATTTCGGTTTATTTATATAGCGCCAATTCACAACACATGTCATCTCAAGGCACTTTACAGTTCACAAGATCATACAGTCAAATTGATTCAAATCAACTGGTTTTCTAAGGAAAACCAGTTGATTGCATCGACTCATTGACTCGAAGGCAATCCCTCACACTAAGCATGCTTGTGGCGACAATGGAGAGGAAAAACTCCCTTTTAACAGGAAGAAAAATCCAGCAGAACCAGGCTCAGTGTGAGCGGCCATCTGCCGAGGCCGACTGGGGTTCAAGGAGAAAGAAGCAGACATAGAAAACGAAGCAGAGATGCAAAAGGCAACTGTCAACCAGCTCCACAGGCGGCCCAGTCCAGGAAATACTCTGCCAGGCAGACGAGCCCCAAGCCATCTCTCATGTCAGACGATGGAGAGAGCACATCCAGTCAGTCACAGTCAGAGAAACAGGACTACACTGAAAAACAGGCCGATCTCCAACATCTATAAACAAAGGTGTTGATGCATACTCATATGCATTAGACAGCATCCAGTATCAGGCTGGAAAATAGGAGTTTTCTCTGGTTGCTTGTAAGCGAGTTGCAGGCATGTTTCTGTGAAATGTTTAGTGATAAATAGAGAAACAGTGGAAACTGGGTGATCACTCATTGGTATACTTAAATTGACGGTCCCCCCAACTTAAACTATAATAGTCAATCTCTATGTTTGATTATTGAAGCATTAACCCTTTGGTCCAACTACAAAAACGTGCTTGCGATGCTTTAGGCCCCACAGAGAAAGAAGAAAAACACTAAAGTTTGTTGCAAAATTAGCCTGTTGCTAACAGATGGCTCTATCTCAGCAAAGTGATAGAAAGTTGAGAGGAAGGAAAAAGTGTGGTAAGAAGGATTGTGATTCAGAGCCAGTGATCCAGATTCAGAATAAAATCTCAGAAAATCCCAGAGTTTGGAAAAAGGTTGGAGAGGATAAGAATTCATAGCTTTACATCACACTGCTGTGAAGAAGGTGGATTTATGCAAAAGGAACATTGTCTAAGTTCTACTTTTCAGTAGGAACACAGATGTTAGCTTATAAATGTCGTCTGATGTGATAGTCACATTTTTTGATCAACTGAATCTTGATGTGAAATCATTCACTACAAAGCCACATATTCCACTCTTTTCAAATTAAATGACTCAAAGAAATGAACCTCTCAGCTATATTCTCATTCCCTAAGAAGCACCAACAGACCATAAATAAGCTGCTGAAGTTAAAACAAAGGAAGCATTGTGTTTATTTTCTTTATAGTTTTCTTAGCTTTTTCAAATCGAGCAGTAATGACATTTTTGCTAATTACTTTTCATTTTGCTAATGATCAAACCTAATTAATTCACTCAGAAATGCGGCAGACACAAATTGCGATAAAGCTTCTATGTTTAAAAGAAAAACACTTTCCTAATTAACCACATTTAATGCTTTTGAGTGTGGTAATAAATCAGGTGTTATGGCTGTAATGGATTCTTGTTGTGAAAGGTTCCTCTGATAATAGACTGAGCAGGAGATGAAAGCGTGCAGCTATGGCAGCCAGGACTGCAAAACATGACATGAGGGGGAAAACAACCTACATAAATAAGTGAGGTGTTAATCAGCCATTCTGCAACTCGTTTTGTGTCTGTCTTCTCTTTCTGATCCATATTACGAAAGGATAACTTGGTGAAAATGTTGATCAGGTTTCTAATCATCACGCCTGCTTCCCTTTGATAAACACCAGGCCATAAAGGCCTCTCCGTGAAGCCCAGCTTGAAATCCGACGGGTTGTCTGGTCTGGAGCCGGCTGAGGTGAGGCGTTAATGATGGGAATGTTTTCCCTTCCCCAGCATTACCAGGCACCACAGAGGAACTTTGAAGATCCGCCGAGCGTGGCCGATCCCTCTCTGCCTCGCTCTGTGCTTCATTATTTAAAAGCATATGAAACAAGAGCGAGAGGAACTGTACTGCTGCTCCCAGGGGAGACAGAAAAGGCTGACGGATAAGAGAAGAGTGACATACTAATCCAACTGGCAGAAGTTAAACAAGCAGAATGCCAGAGATGGCTCCCGGGGTGGAAAAGAGATGGCAGCCGCACTTTTAATTGCGTGATGTTAAATCTGGGAGAGATCCATCTATTAGGGGAGCTTCTTTTCGTCGTGCAGTAGGATGGGGCTGATCTCTGTGTGATCTTTGACTTAGAGAAACACTGCCATCTGAAGGCGACAAGAAAATCTCACCAAAACATAAAAAAAACAGCAACACAATAACCACATATTGAATCTTACATAACAGATCTTAAAAGCACATATCAGCAATAATCAAACTAAGACTCATCACTGGAAAAACAACACGGCTCTTTTATTATCGTGCAGCAGGAATCCTTAGAATCACTCATTGGGGCAATCCCTTCATTAAGAGTGACTCCTGATAGGTAAAACCAAGCGGTAATGGGGGTTATTAGCCTACAACTGCTGCTTCACACCTGCAGTAGCCATGGCGACAACCGATGAAAACAGGCTGGAATAATAATAAAAAGCCTGACAGACAGGGCAGAGGAAGCAACGTCTGAGGCATGAAGGATGTCAGCTGAGAACGGGAGCAAAGAGAGAAGAGTGAAGACTTCATTGATTACATCCCGGCTCTCTATTCAGTTCACGAAGAATAGAAAACAAAGGCTGAAGTCAAAGTGGTGAAGGCCGTAACAGGCAGAGCGCATTGTGGATGTCTATTAAGGAACAATAATGAGTGACAAGCTGGCATAAATCTAGACAATAAAACCCTGCTTTAAAGGAAGCTATAATTTATCATGATTACACCTGCAATCTTCGGCCCTGGAGGGCATTATAGAGGAGTGCAGCAAAATAACGGACGTCCCTGAACATATTTTTCAGCAGCGTATGCAGAATTGAGTCCCTAAAAGGACATTTGAATGAACAGACACACTTTCTAAAGCAGGAATGCAGGAACTGCTTAGATTTAATTTATTCAGCTCCCCGTAAAAAGGATAAACAAGACCCACCTTGACTTGATTATCGCTGTTCTTTAGAAATTATTTGAAACATAATGGACAGTTTTGGCGTTTAAAGCTTCTCTCACATTATTTTTTCCAACCTTGGCACGATTTAATTACATCTAAGCACGAAACATTTGCACTGTTTTGCTTTTTAAACAACAGATACAACAAAATGTGTGTCCCCTCCCTGCCTGAGTTGAATAGGTTCTGCTTCAGGAAAGCATTTCCAAACCATGACACCTCCACCTTTATGCCTCCCAAATAACATGGATTCAGGGAGATTTACTGGGCAGTTGCCTAGTGCCCCATAAAACTCTGTTTAAATGTATAGTTAATACAACTATTCCTTATTTGTGCATATTAATTATGTTTTGGATAAAAACCCTTTTGCTAAAATGCCATTAGAACGCTTATAATATTAAGTTTGTCTCAGACCCTGCTTCGGTGTCCACCACATTGGATCAGTCCATTTGCTGCACATGTTCAGAAAGGTCCAAACAGACACCAGCAAACCCTTTTAAAACAAGCGCACTGTTGCCAACGTAGTGCTTTTGTTGCCATAGTTAGCAACTTATTAGACCCCTCTAGCACTTTCATTTCAAAAAAGCACCTAGCACCAAATCTAGCAACTTTTTTATGCTACTGGAGACTTTGGCGACAACATAAAAAAGCAGCGAACTCTGCTCTCCAGAGCAAGTAGATTGGTAACCTCGCCTCCTGCCTTTTACAATCTTGTCTGCTGTCATGATTCACAGCCTGTCTACAGTGAAAAGAAGGACCGTGTTATTGACTTTTCCTGTCGCCTTTTTGGAAACACAGGAAGGAACAATCAGCTAAGTGCTTAGTGCTATCTTTCATTCCTTTGGAGACAGCATGAAAAGTCAGCTGAGTACAAAACATAGAGGAAAACAACAAGAAAATGGACACAAAGAGAGGGACAAAACCCAGAAAAAAAAAAGGATGTCTATTCTATTAACATTTCTGTATCAGTATAATGGGTTTGTTCTACGTGTTGTCTTCTCAATTCAGAGGGCCCACTGCCTGTCTTTGCCTGGGGCCCCAAATTTCCTAAATCTGCCCTTGCATTGATTTATACTATAACTTCTTACAGCACTGAATTAAACACCTGTTTCCAAAAATAAATGTTTATTAAGCATCCTAAATGACTTGTGTACATTGTGTTTTTGCATCTAAAAAGATCTCAGCTAAAAGAAGCAACCACACCTTTAGTATGACCTTTTAAAACTATGTTAAAA